GTGTAATTTTTTAAAAGTTTAGTGTTAAGTATATTACTAATACATATCTCACTATTTTAATCAAGAGTCTGCTATGGTAGTCTATAACTGAATTCATGAAAATAATTAAAACTCAGAAATGCAACTCTGAACTAATATCCACTGCCTCTTTTTGTAGAGTTGAAAAAATAATAACCAAGAATCCGCTTAGCATTACACATTATGGCAGAAGCAGAAATAAAAATCTCTAATAAATAAGTTTTGTTTTTGGTCCTCAGCATATGGCACCTGTGTCACAGACATGAAGAATAATTGTTGCAATGTCCAGACATGGAGTATCACCCTGTTTTAGATACATCTGAAGTAGTTTTGACATTTTTATAAGATGTTCCATTCTGGCAAAGTCAAACTGTATGTGAAATCAGGTTGTAAGCCGAGTCTGGTTTGTATGTGCAAAAGAAGAGGAACAGGAGGACGATGAGGAGGAGGTGGTGGTGGTGGAAGAGGAGAACCCCATACCAAGCACCCAAGAATGTAAAAAATATTGCTCTTCCAACACACCCTATGGTAAAAAATCAAGAAACTGGGACATTTTTGATTGTAGAATGTATGACATTCTTTGAATATATTGTGCTTCATAGTAGAGTATCCCAATGGGGAGGGACAAGCACTCAAAATCCTGTTGAATTGGGAAGAAGAGCACATAGGCTACTTTAAGAAGATCCCAAGTTCATCCCCAGCATATCTAGTTAAAAAAAAGCCAAGTAGCAGCTTGTAGTAAATAGTAGATGGAGCTCAACTATCAAACAAATTATAAAAAGTAGAATTCCTTCCCTTCAAATAATTTAATTTTACTGCAGAGTAGGCAATCCAAGTGTGAGTTGTACATAGAGAGGGCGGGGATGAATATTTCAGAATGATGCACCTGTTAGTATTTTGGGTGAGGACTTATGGAATCAGAATAAATAAAGGCAGATGGATAAATTTTCTATTCCTTTCTTCGTATATTTATGGATCTTAATATTAATGATGTTTGACTTCCTACTACTTATACTCTTGGCTACAATAGAAAAGTTGCTATTGTATCCTTATAGGACTTGTGAAATGAAAATCTAGATTGCTGCATAGTATTGAAGAGAAATTATTGAGGTTCCCTATAATAAAAAGAAACACTTTCTAAAATAGCGACTGCCCAAATGACAGTTTGGCCTCACAGAATTTCATATTTTTGTTACTGTCTCTAACTTGACTAACAAGGGGGTATAAAATAAATAATTGCAGAATAATTTACTTAATTCCTAGACAAATAAGTAACTTTGCTCAAAAACTAGCTTATGTTCCATGATTCTTATAAATTAGGTGAGAATTCCATGTAGATGTATCAACATTTGCAATGAGAAAAAAAACGTTTAAACAATATATGAGTTCCAGTTTAAGGGTCTTATAGCACCCCACAAGCTATTTTGAATTATAATATATATATAATTGATTTATAATTTGATTTATATATATAAATCAAAAACATGTCCTGTACGAGCTAAGTTGTGTTTTTATTGCTGTAATGTAACTGTTATTATAATTAATAAATTGCACATAGTGAAGAAAAACACTGAAAGAAAATTCTCAGCTTCAGGGTGTCCTTTTAAGAAAAAACTCAAGACAGGTCTCCTACCCCAAGTTCAATCTTCTTTCCACCATTAATTTAATCTTGCTCTTCTTTGCTGAGGTTGTCAGAATTGTGTTGAGCTTTTGCCTATTACTATCTGGAACTCCATTCCAATTAAATAGGCCTAGGGAAGTAGGAAACCATTATCATAATGAAAAGAAAATGCAGAAGGAAAGTCTAGCTGTAGGAGAAAAGAGGCTATGATAGACCTGCATTTTGACAGAAGCAGATGAAAGGACAGAAATAGCAGCGATAATGGATGAAATATATACCTGCCTTCAGTGGACGACACCATAAATACTCCTTGCTGAGAATGGTCATTGTCTTTCTTGTTCATGGATCACCCAAAATTAAAATTGCTTCTACTGTATTGTATGGAAGGAAGATGACCTGCTCTCAAGAACTTAGATAAAACAAGAAAAGTTTTATCCCTTACTGTGTAGAACCACCAGGTAAATTACCTAGATCTTCATTTCAGATTCATGCAGCCCATATTTTTAACTGACATCAATCCCTTGTTTCAGTTCATTGTATTTGTGTATCAGCCTAACAGAGAAATCTGGGGCTGACCTTCCAATAAGAATTACTCAGAAAGTTGCACATGCATTGTACTTAGCCATTATCTTTTTATTCAGAATGCATGAGATATCAGAGAATTCATGCGTGCATGTGTAAATACAAAGAGAAGCACACATTTATGTACACTTTCAAAAACTGGAAATCCAGAGTTACTGAACAGCTGAATTTCCAAGAAATGGTGTTATCAAAATGAAGCATTTAGGCCCTTGACATGGGTCACAATATATGCCTGATCTTTCTCTCTTTTCATCTGATTTAGATGACGTTTATAGATTAGATCAGTGGCCCCCAACCTTTTTGGTGCCAGGGACTGGTTTTTCCATGGACTGGGTATGTGTGGTTTCGAATGCTGCCTGGATCTCACACGTATGAGGATGGGGTTTCGCTTGCTTGCATGGCCTGGTTCCTGCCAATCTGTGGACCAGTGGCAGTTCACGGCCCAAGGGTTGGGACTCCTGTTTAGTGTATTGATTACAGATAACCATAAGAATGATTATGGCAGAAGAATCAAATGTTTCTAATGTCCCTGAATACAAATGCAAGTGGCTTTTTAGTCTTAAGCTCAACCTTTTCTTTTTATTGACATGATCTTGGTTGTCATTGATGGAAAATACTTTATATACAGTAGATATAAAAGGCTGTGCTACATGTTGAAATACCTGAGAGGAAGAACCCAACATGTTTCATATCAACCACACATATTTTGAAAAGTCTAAGTCAGGGGTAGTCAACCTTGGCTCTTTTATGACTCGTGGACTTCAATTCCCAGAATTCCTGAGCCAGCTTAGCTGGCTCAGGAATTCTGGGAGTTGAAGTCCACGAGTCATAAAAGAGCCAAGGTTGACTACCCCTGGTCTAAGTTTATCCTGTAAAAATGTGTCCCCATCTTTGAAATACTATCACCTGCAGAAAACAAGCATATTACAATCCACAATTACATTTCATAAATATTTGTTTAAACATAGCCCGTTTTCTGGCAAAGGACCCATCTCTCTCTCTCTGATTTAAAAGGACAAATGGACATTTAAAATGGATTCAAATATCACATGAGATAAATCTCTTTCAAATTTATTATTTGAAATACGCAAAATTATTAAGCATTTGAAATTTTATCCTCCTGGAAATAAAAAAAAAACAGAAAGAAGAGACATTAAACCATCTGAAATTCCACCTTTTAAAACTGATGTGGGATACTACCCATTGTAGTATTCTGGTTGTAGATGGTGATCTTTTACTAAGTATTTATTTAATCTCCATTTTTGCAGTTTAAAGCTCTTAAATTTTCCTTAAATTCACATATTAAAGGTAAAATTGACACATCTTTCTATCATACTGAAACTGTTATTTTAAAAAGAGGTTATTTATAAATTATGTCCACACAAGAAATTGTCTTTTCCTTCCTTCCTTCCTCATAAATGAGTGTTCAAAGTTTTACTTCTCAATCGGGAAAGAGAATCCATGCAATTTAGTCATACCTTAGAGCCAGGAAGTGGCCAAGATGTTTGAAGAACTTCTAACTATTATATCTTTTTTCACATTACTGGTATCTTGAAGGTTCTTGGAGCAATGGAAAGTGGACAGATATTTTTTTTTTATTACATACAGAAGCTCCCATTAAGAGCTCAGCTTCCTGGTATTAACTCCCTTCATTGTTGCCATATCATAAATGGAAGCCAGACCACAAGCAGGAGTCTTGGGAAGCACCAGCTGGCATATGGACCACACCAATTACACTCTTGTTCTGGGATGCAGCGAATACACTAGCAAACAGATGTTGACTCACGAATCAATTGGGCATTTCTGCAAATCCAATATGCCTTCACGAGCCATTTCTCCATGAACTGTGCAAAGCCCACTTAAAGGTGAAACCAAGACATAACGAAATCTAGAACAATCTTATTGTCTTCTTGAAAGGAGCTGCCAAGGTCGGACTTCATACGCCAAGAGCAAATGACTGTGTGCTCACTCTTTTTCTAGCAATAGTTATATAATTTCAGCCCAGGGAAGAAAAAGCGGTATGAGATTTTAAACAGGATTTGATTTTTCAGCAACAAATATAAAAGCTACAAAAAAAGTGCAAATAGCAACAATGGTCCCATGACATCCTGAACTTCAGACATAGCCTTTTAGCCTCTCTAGAGAGACCAAATTTTGTAGGTCTAAGTTGATTAGATGCAAGGCTTTTAACAAAACAGAGGGGAGGGGAAGACACTAGTCTGCAGTGTTGCCGTTAATCAAAAAACACAAAAGTGAAGTTAGTTATAAAAAAAGTATCAACTAAAGCAATAGGAAAAAGGAACATATGTACATTTTTCTATATTTACACAAGAAAAATCAACCCCTCCCCGCTCATTTTGAGACTGGAAGTATTGATCACTTTTCCTTTAAAAAAAAAAACAACCCCAAACACTAAAAAGTCTTAAAACGCATGGCTTTACAAGCTGCTGCTCAGAAAATATACAACCCCAAGTTTGACTTTCATTTAAATACAAATGTACAAAATGTAAACTGAGACAATAGAGAAATTTACAAAACCTTTTCTTTAAAAATAATAAGGACAAAATTCAGTTCTAGTTAGGATGCGATTTTAAATACGTGCAAGTTGTCAGCCTCCAATTTCTATTGCGGTGTCCTACAGAGACAATGTTGAGTCATAAGACCTCAAGTTCCACCCCCCAAAAACAGACCTGAGAGTAAATATCTTCATAAAATGGGAAGCTTCCCTAAAAAGAACAGACAGGAGGAAAAAAAACTTCCGTGGTTATAAACTGTTGATCTTCTAGCTTGATGGTGGATGCTCTTCTCATCCTTGATGCTTGATACTCTACCAGTGGAAGGATGTAATATCCATAAGCCAGAAAAAGCTAACTGCTCCCAGTAGAGTTTGAACTGACGTGATTGGAATTTATGTGATGATTTAAATTGGTCTTTGAGTTTGGAGAGCTCTTGGAATTGTTCTGATGCTGGAGAATTTTTTTAAAAAGGAAGAGAGAAAAAGTTAGTTTTTCTGGATCATTCTAGATGTATGCGCCTGCAATTTCCAGAAAATATAACTGTTTGCCTGTGATGCTCTGGATTATATCCATTTGATTGATATAAAGTATGGCATAAAAAGGGGGATACCGCTGTATCCCCTTAACTGTATGTCTTATTCACAAGAGTTTCTCACCCTCAACTCTCTTTAAGCCCCTGGATTCTGAAGAGACTTCTGTTTGGGCCAGGACCTCTTGAGCTACTGTCTGGTAGAATGTAAAAGCATCAGTGTCTAGTATCTTTTTTATATAAAGAATACTTCTAAATCTCAATAACAACAACAACAATAATAACAATAACAACAACAACAACAACAACAACAATAATAATAATGATAAAGTTGGAAGGGACCTTGGAGGCCATCTAGTCCAACCCCCTGCTCAGGCAGGAAACCCTATACCATTTCGGACAAATGACTGTCCAGTCTCTTCTTAAAAACTTCCAGTGTTGGAGCATTCACCGCTTCTGGAGGCAGGTTGTTCCACTGGTTAATTGTTCTAACTATCAGGAAGTTTCTCCTTAGTTCTAGGTTGCTTCTCTCCTTGAATAGTTTCTTCTTGTCCTGCCTTCAGGCGCTTTGGAAAATATAGTAAACCTGATTGGCATTCATAGAATCTGCAAATGGTGGCCATCTGCAAACCCATTCTTGGCTTCCAAGTCTGTCTATTTGTCCTAGCACTGTGGGGCTAGACAAATTTCTTAGTGTGTCTTCTAGTACCTATATATTTTATGACTAGCCATGTCTACCTTGTTAGCCATCTATGAATAGATAATGCCTTCACCTTCCAAATGTTTTACAAACACACTGCCATGTGTTCCAATTATGTCTTTCAGTCCAAGTGGAGTTCCTTATACCATGCTCAGGTAATCAGTTTCATTTTTTGGTCAACAGCAATTATATATCAGGACATAAGACCTGAAGAAAAAGTGGTGTTTTAGTTTCTGAACTCTTTCACCACAAACTTGCCACAATCCATAATGAGTAGCTGCAATCCAACATGCTCTGAAGACAGCAGCCTGGCAAAAGGTTGTTTTTGTTCTGTCCCAGCCTACGTGAGTCCTTGTTAAGCTCACAAGGAGAAACCCCTCTTCCAACAAGCAGGCTGGAACTGTAGGAAAAAACCAATCCCCTTTTATTATTTACAGACCTGAGTAAATGTCCAAAGGCAAAGGCAAACAAAACACAGTTCACTGAAACTTGATTCCTTAACACAAACGGTTGCCTTCAGCAACCAGCACCTCCCACACCTTCCCTTTTATTATGCAGCCAAGGCATGGCTTCCTAATGCCTTCTCCTTTGCCTTTGGAGCCGCTTCATTGCATTCCTCTGTCCGACTCTCTTTGCCTGCTGGCGTTTACGAGCATCCTGGATATCTCCCAGCTGTGAGTCATCACTGTCCAACTCAGCCTCCCAGCACAGCTGTGTCTCAGCCTGAGCGCGAGTAGAGGGGCCAGGCTCCTCGTCAGACTGTAAGTCTTGGAGCTCATCAGAGCCTTCCTCTGACTCTGATGTCACTCCAGACCCCTCCTCCTCCTCTGATTCCCCAGAGTCAACTGCCGGGTCCACTGGCTGATGAGGAACCACAACACTTTTCACCCATCACTAGTCTATAATATGCCATGACAAGATTTGGACATTTTGGAATATTGATAAAGACGATTATTTAATTAACATAAGCATTAAGAAAGGCTTAGAAACTCTCACCTGACGTTTAAATATTCGATGTAGCAATCCTTTCTTCGGTGGTTCTGGAGGATAGTTTTTGTTAAGGTCTGGTGAAATAGTACCATTTGGTCCAAATATGTTTAGTTCTTTAAAACATTCTGTTTCTATCATCTAGCAAGATGAAAGGGAAAAATTATTTACTGGGGCCCATAATGAGAATCAGAGAAAACTCCAGCCTTATTATATAGAATGCATCATTTATAAAGACTCAGTAGAGTGCATCCAGCCAGGAAGAAGATTGGCTGCTCATTTGAAGTTTTCAAATTAGGGTAAGTACAGAGGCAACCTGTGTACTCCAGATTCTATATACACCCGATTCTTCCTGTACCCAGGAATTGTTTAGCATTTGAAGTGCTACAGGGGGTCTACCTTTCTCTGAGACACAATTGCTAAGCATCATTCCCCAATTCTTTTATGATATTGAGTCTTGTGGCATCTTAAAGTCTTCCTTTCTCAAATTACTTTTGATACGATTCACTAGGCTGATATCCAAAGATGACAAGAGATTCATCTTGAGTCACACAGTAAAGTTCACGGTTGAGCAGAAATTAAAACCTGGTTGTCTAATACTTTAATCACTTTATCATACATGAACTTAGAAGTGAAATAAAAGATATAATGGAAGAAAGTGGTATGCCTCTTTTCTGTCATAAATAATTAGCAATTAAAATATAAAACACAACCATCAGTTTTTACACAGAGGAGTATAACCATATAGTGAATTAATATGCCTCTTCACACATGCACGTGCATCACACACGCATCTTGTATAGAAGAATGAGTGCTTCCTAGTTATCTTCCAAGATTGGGGCTCTTCAGATATGTAGGATTCCAGGATTATTAAGCAGCAAAATTCCAAGAATTGCCAACATATCTGAAGGGCCCTATGTTGGAAAAGCTGAATTGTAAGAAGTTAACTACCACATGGATCAAAGCTACCATTAGATAAATAAGTTGATCAAAAAGAGAAAATGTTTCATGTAATTGTTATTTTGATTTTTTTTCTCTCCAAATGCAATAGGAAGAAAGAGTATATATTGGTAATTGTCAGCAAATCTTTGGATTTAAAGTGAGACGTGGGTTTTTTTGGTTGTTTGTGAAATGTGAAATCACTTCTCCCAAAGGGATCTCACAATCAGGAAATACAACGTGCCCAGACTGAGGACCTCCCACATCTTTTGTAAATATTAGGAGTAAATAATCTGATGAGGATAAATATCCACTGCTAACCAAAGATGATAACATGTGTTGAGGTGTTGTAGTCCAAACTTAGTATTTCATGCTTATATTATGAAGTCACACATATGTCATGGACTTGTGTTGCAATGTCATGTCACAGGTTTCATTATTTGCCTCCCTGTATTCCTCTGCTGATAATCACCACAATATTGTCGTCTGTGGCTCCAGCAATTTTTCCCCCCTTAGCTATGCTGGGATGGGCTGATAGGAAGAACAACCAGATCTACGTCAGGCAGGCAGGATGTCAGTTAAAAACCAGAATCTATGAACACCCGCTGGTTGTAAAATGGCATGACCTGAAGTCCCTGATCACCAGTCACGCTGACAACCAACAACACCAGTTTGACTGGGACGAAACCAAAGTCATCGGCCATGCCAAAATCCATCAGGCACGTGAGTTTACTAACAGGTCCATCAACAAACACATTGACTTAGAACCAGCAAACGGACAGATAAGGAAGCGGACCATCCAAATCACCAACCGATGATAGAACTGATCACCCCCCCACCAATTGGATTCCGCACCTCACAGCAATCAGTCAGAAGACCAGAATCAGTCTTGTGATTCAACCAGTCTTGTGACTCAATCGGCCTTGTGAGTTGTGAGACCAACTGACCACCTAGGACCTATACAAATGAACAAGACACTTCACCCCAAGTCCCTGCTGAAGATGTTACCTAGTCTGGTAACAAAACATCTGGGAGCTAAAAAGCAAGCTCAGAGAATAGACCCCTGCCACAACTTAGACTGGCTTGCAACTTTCTCAAAATTTAGGATACCTCTACTGTCTTATCATTCTAGTACAGTGGTTCTCAACCTTTTTAATGCCGCGACCCCCAACCGGTCATAAGTCGAGGACTAAACCGGTCGTAAGTCGAGGACTACCCAACCGGTCGTAAGTTGAGGACTTTCCCTGCCCGGGAGCGCCGTGCATGCGTGGTTCCGCCCCCTGCGCCAGCCAAGGCGTAGCTGGCAAGTGGCAGAGACGGAGCAGGCTGACCACCAGCTGGCCCAGCCCAAGGGAGGTAAGGCACCCGCCGGAAAAGGGGAAAAAAATGGCAGACAGCCTTGCTTGGCGACCCCCGTGAAATGGTCGATCGACCTCAAATGGGGTCACGACCCATAGGTTGAGAACCGCGGTTCTAGTACAATTGCTATTTTGTTCAACTTGCTCAGGATGATACAAGTCTTCCATATCTGGAAGGTTACTTTAACTAAAAATAGCAAAAATGGTGAGACACAGCAAAACTAAACTAAACATTAGCTGGTCCTAATCCCAATTAACTAACTCTTGCACCTGAAAGCAATATATGTTTTTCATTATAGAAAGTTGTTCTTAGCTTTTTATCATCAGATCATTGTAGTCCTGTCTGCAAAAGAACCATGTCTAAAATTTCAGAACCACACATTTCGAAGAATCACTTTCTGTCACTTTAAGAAAACACAACTGGTGTTTTATTAATGTTTCAAACATTAAAGCAACAGGGCTTTTTTATTTTAAAATGCTGCAGAGTATATCCAAGGTAACGAAATAAGTTATTTAGAATATTTCCAGTATATATTTGGCATTTACAAAATTCGGAAAGATTTATAGAAAGGATTTTAGGGAAGCAGGGGTAAATATATAATTACCTCATTTTGCCATGGAATAGATACAGAGCCTGTAGAAAACTTGGAATAGAAATCATCATCTGTTTGGTCCAGGTTTACTCCCTTGACAGTTGAAAACTGCTCAATATCCAACACATCTTTGCAGTACACTGCTCTCGGCTACCCCAGCAGGAAAAGAAACAGTAAGAGTCTGAACATGTGGTTGGTGCTATTTGAGGTCATTCAGAACATTACTTGCGTTGGGCAAACAGAAGTGCAAAAAGTCCATGCCCATGGGTCAAAGGAGTGCATTGTCCAAAACCGTCTATATCCCCCAGAGTTTTGCTCTCCCTTGCGTCCCCTTGCTGCTCTTCCTCCCACCTTCCTCATCACTTTTATTCACTCACTCAGTGCCCTCCTGCCCTTGCACTGACCTTCATCTAGCCCAGGCTCAGGAATTCTGGGAGTTGAAGTCCACGAGTCATAAAAGAGCCAAAGTTGACTACCCCTGATCTAGCTCCTTGATGCCCTTCCGCCCTTCTTTCCAAGTCTGTCCAATTCTTCTAAGCCTATCCAGACTCTCCAAGCTACTCATGCTACTTTTCCCAACTGTTAACTTGATCCTCCTGAGTTCATCTGCTTCTCTTCCCACAGCATTCATAAATCTATTCCCTTTCTCCTTGAAGGCTGCACTTTTTTTGAAAAGAAAAAAAAACATGTAACAGTTTTTTTCCTTTGGGAAAGAGAGTTATAACTCTGAGAATTTTATCTACAACCCAGGGTCCTCCACTTCCACTGTTTTCTTTTGGAACAGTCAGAAGAATAAGGCTATCATATCTTCCAAACACAACCAGTGGAGGGCAGCAAAAGGATTTGAAAACTGTATCTAATTCTTTGCTGCCATCCTCTGGTCCTTTGCGTTTTTGCAACACAGATATGGTAGCTCTACAGAAAAAAGCAGAAGTCATCCGGAGGAGCAAGAGCAAGAAAAGGCCAAGGTTTCCTTGAGAATGGCATACACTGGCAGCTGAGGAAAGCAGGGAACAAAGGAAAGGGAGGTACAGTGCTGGGGAGATCGCAGGGCAGGCAAATGAGTGATGCCATGCTGGGACCTTTGGGGCAGCAGCAGCTGAAGAGAGACAAGAAGGGAACACACACTGGGAAGAGGGAGTGGAGAGTGGAAGGCTAGCACTTTGAATATGCAGAGGATGACAGGAAAGGAAGGCATGGCACCACCCCAGTCTTGTTCTACTCACCCTGCATAATCTCTCCCACATCCCTCTGGATTTTGCTTTAGTTAAGCCCAAAACAACTAAGGTGTTCCAGTATTTGCTTCTGCTGAACTATAGCCAAAGCATTCAAAACCCATTTAGAAGGCAAACATATGAGGCTGTTCTTTGATATCATCTCTATCAAACCAGAGGGGAATTTTTTCCCCCTTTTCATGGGCTGCTGGATACACTACAAAAGAAGCACTAGGCTGAAACTTCCATATAAAATAAAAATAGATTTGGGGATATCTATGGGCTTTTTGGAAAATACTAGATAATTCTGGAAGCTAATACTTTCCTTTGCACTCTGCTAGCTTCCACAGTAATTTTGTTTTAAATTAAAACAATATTTAATTATTTCTTTAAAACAGAGCGGGGTATGGAGCTCGACTAGTATCAGCTGAGGTGTCTGAACATTAGGGACCTCACTATTAATGGCTAGCAACTGACATAACTTTTGAAAACATGGCATAGATGAAGGCAAACAACATCTGAAGAGCACAAGACTCTTGTGTAAGGCTGACTATCCAAAACACTGTTATGAAATTTCAATCACTGATGGGGTGAAAATTATTAGACACGGACATCCAAAGTTAAGATACTGTATGACCCTAACTCAAGGAAGATAGATTTCAACCATTGTAAGTACAGTTTCAATAGCTTCTCAAGGATGATAGACTGCAAACGTTAAAAATACAGATTCAAGCAGTAGGTCAAATACATCCTCAAGTTCTACTTCAGCTCTGTAATTCTCTTTTAAGCATCACTTACATCAGGGACAAAAGGGGGTTCCAACATTCCTGCTTGGAGACGTTTGAAATTCATGCTCTTGAAAAACGGGTGACTCTTTACTTCAGCAGCATCATCTGGACATCCCAGCCTCTGTTTCATATCTTTGGTCAATAGCTGAAAAGATGCCAAGACAATGATCAGAAAATATTTGTTGAATCATATTGCATGCAGAGAAACCCAAACATTCACTTCTATATCCTAATAGGAGTATACATATAAAAATTCATTTGTCATTCATAGTTTACTATTTAATAAAAAATAAAGCCAAATATGTGACAGTCCAGCAATTAATAAGAGGAATCTCATGTTTGGAATTTAGGCATTGTTATCTTTTGCATTTTGCCCATGAAATGAAACTAACACAATATATAGCATAAAAAAGTAAGTGAAAATTGTGACAAGATGAAAATGGTGCCCCTTTTGGAATCAGCAAGCTGTAGCAAATCACTTTATGGGTCACCTTGCAATGAGGCCACTCCTGGTGAGTCCTAGTGAAGAACTCCTGGTGAGTTCTGATTAGGTATTATGCAGACAATAATTATACTAAGGTGTATTCTCCAGGCCCAGTTGGAGTTAATGTTAAGGGATCTGTGATGATATTATAATTCATAATTAATTAATTTGATATTACTGTTTATTCCAATGTACTTTATTTCTTATAGGTTTTTTTCTGTATTTCTCTTTTAAAAATTGAAATAACATTATTTTAAAAAACCTTTTAATTGCAATATTGAAAGTCGTGTTATAATGTCATGTCACAGTCCCGGTCCTTTTGGAACAGGTATAAAAAAAATGTGTGCTTGTATCACAATACTGTGGTGATGCTTTCTTCAGCTTGACCCCCATTCCACCCCCACCCCTCCCAGTAGACACTGCTGACTGCTACTATTGTCTTGCCTGGCCTTGATGCAACAGAGACTACTGTATATATAATGTTATTGTAAATATTCTCTGTACTTCTCAAATTTTGTTTGAGAATTTTGATCTACTTCTGACATCATTTTAATCAGAATTCTACCAAGTACCCCTCTGGGTAAACTGAACAAACTTATCTTGTGGTTTTTTGTTTTTTGTTTTTGTATCTACTCTTGTGACCTTTTGCTTTCTATAAGGGAACCATAACAGTGTTCTCCCACTTGTCAAACACAGATGCAATCTTTAAACACATGCTACATAAATCACACTGTACTTCATTGGCAACTATACCCATATTCCTGCTTTTACATCATCTATATTTGTTTTTAAAGCTTTATTATTTCTTTTTCAGCATTTTATTCTTGGACACTAACATTTATAATATATTTCAGTTCCACTCTTTGACATGTTACTATCATTCCCATACCAGCCTCTGAAATAGTCCTTCTAGCATTCTCTCTCTTCAACATCCTCACCACCACGCCACCAATTCTTCACTTTTCTTTTTCCACATGCATCCATTAATGACTTAAACCTAAACCAGATTTAGAAATACACAGATTTCTTTTAGGCAAATAATTAAGGAAACCTTTACATTTTCAATCCCCTGAATTGCCTAATCACTTTTTTCTACACTCTTATTTCATTCCCAATTATCTATACATGTGTTCTAGCAGAATGATTTTTCTCTAGACTGCCTTAATCAGGAAGTTGAATTGAACGGAATATTTTATATGGCTAAGTATGATAAAGCACAAAGGAATTTTGAGGAAAATTGCACAAATTTGTGTAATTTTTCTCAAATTTTTCCCCAGGTTCTTTCATTTCATTATCTTCATTTGCTGGAGCTACTATGCAACTATTAATTCTTATTTTCATATATGTATTGAAAAAAGTTGGACTCATACTTACTAAATATATTTAATCATCTTATCAATGGTTTATAAAATAACTCATATCAATTCTCTATCTTAACTCTAATTATTTGGCTGATTTATTTTATTTAGCTCTCATAATCCGATCTGTGTATGCCTAATCTCATATTGTCAATGACCTTCAAGAAATTCCCTTATAATCGTTTCAAGCCTCAAAAGCAAGATTAACTTATTGAACTTAACCATGTTTTATAGAATTATGCCTGATGAATTATTAAGAGTTCCCAAAATTTTATCTCCTACTCCAGAGTTATTGAGAGCCAGAATAAACTGATGGTGAAAGTTTAACTAGATTGGGAGTAGATTTAACTCCAACCTCAATTGGGAAGTCTCACCAGATTACTCACGGTTAATCAATCAACCCAAGTTACTTCATAGGGTTATTTTGATGGGGAAAATTCAAGGAAGATGGTATATATGAAGAGAAATAGTAGCTTACAAATCTACAAATGAATGAATGACAGATTTACTTGTGAATGCTTGGGCAGGTGAATGCCAATTATTGTCTGCCTTATATCTTTACCAATAGCCACACATGAAATTCTGGGCACTACTAGATTTAGATTTAGATTTACCAAATCCAGGGTGCAAACTTCTTGAAGCCCACTAGATCAAGCAAAGAGACAGAGTCTTCAAGAGCTTTGAGGCTTGGATCTGCAGAGCACAAAATTCCCGAGCTCATTAAGCTTTTGGATAGCGAGATGTGCAGCATATAAATTTAATTATAAAATAAATATAATCTCTCCCCCCTAATTTTTAAAGAGCAACACTATTTAGTATGACTGGGCATGTTTGGGTTGAAGTGTTCAAACCTCATCTCAATAGAATGCCTTCCAATATTCCTTAAAACCACTCATTATATAGTACATACTTCTGTACAGTCCTGAATAAAAGATGTTGCTGCTTTTAAGAGTCACATCCCTTTTATTCACTTTTTTTTCCTGGCTGGCAAAACTGTTAGGTGTTTTTAAGGAATCAAACAGAGGTACAACGCTTGTGTGAGGTCCAAAGTTTTTCCTAATAATTTTCAAAGTAGGCACTGCCCTATACAGAATCCAATTTATTAAGATCAGAAGATTAAACTCCTTGAAAAATTGTTAGCTGGGAATAAGTTCCATTGATCTCCAAGGTGCTTCATCCTTCAATATGTGTAACACAGTGGACTTAGAGAGATAGCAATAGCAATAGCACTTAGACTTATATACTACTTCACAGTGCTTTACAGCCCTCTCTAAGTGGTTTACAGCAGGGATCCCCAACTCCCGGTCTGTGGACTGATACCGGGCCGCAGCATGCCAGCAACCGGTCTGCACAAACAAGCAAAGCCCCATCCATAGGATGCAGGCAATACACAAACCGACGCACTCTCCGGTCCACAGAAAAACCTCTCTCCACAGAACTGATCCCTGGTGCCCAAAAGGTTGGGGACCTCTGGTTTACAGAATCAGCATATTGCCCCGAACAATTTGAGATGATGTTCAGTTGGCTGAAGTGAAGTTTCAGCTTCTAATTAGAAGTATAAACCATTTTGCAAAAGAAAGGTTAGCATTTAAATGGGTAATGTGAAGTTATAAATCATATGCAGTACTCATGAATAGTAGAACTTGAAAGCCTCATTATTACCTCACTCATCTGGCAGCTATAGTAACTGAGATATAGAATTATTCTAGCATTCAACAAATATTATCATTAATCCTGGAGCTGCATTACATTATATTATTCTGCCAAGTATATACTATGGTACTGGTTTTTATTTCAGTCTTCTTACTTATTACTTGTTTTGAGGGGGAAAAGCTAAAGGAATTTCACTGAGGAATATTAGAACTAAGGTAGCTCAATGATTATGGGCCAGTAATGTCAAGCTTCATTCAGTAACAAAAATAAACTAAGGAAAAGATGGTTTGACTCAACTGGACTCTCTTCTGAGCAAACATATGTGGTGAGACTGTTACCTTCATTGATTGTAAAAATGACCAGGAAAACAGATTTTAAAGATTTTTCCAGAGGATGTTCACCTTTCATCCAGTAGAGGGCAGCAATAGAAAAGTTAACAATATGGGAAGCATAAGCATGAAATATTTCTATAAGCTTGCAATTTAAAAATCATTAAAATAATGGAATTTATGTAATTAAACCTCAGCAACACATGTAATAGAAAGTTAACTGCAGTTGGTTTCCTCCAATTGCTTAACCAGATTACTTTTATAAGCATTCTTCAGTTTGAAGGAACCGAAGCAGGTAGATGCGTTCATACACCAGCCAAGATTTGGCAAATGATTCTGGAAAATTCTCCAGCTAAAATGTTCCCAAAGCTGGACAAATCTAAATGAAAAGGGAACACTAATTACAGTATCCCGGCACAGCATATTACTGAAGCATTTAGTTTACAAACACCGTTTACTGACGTTAGGAAACATCACAGGAATTTTTCAACAGTGACCCTTGTTTCTAGAACTTGGATCTGGTTGTGCTTGGATCCAACTGTGAACGTATTCAGTACTTAAAAGCAGGCATGGGTGGATGACACACAGCAAATGGAACAAACCTCTAAGATTTTCCTGCATGTGTCAGTGTTGGCATCAAAGGCATTCACAGTTTCAAAGTCATGGTCATTTCAGAGGGTGTTGCTGAACTGTGTTTTACTGGAACACAACACCATTCTGAAAATGGCAGTACAGGAAATTTAGCGAGTGGATAGTAGTAAGCCTTAGGAAACTCCTTTGATTCAGTTTTTTTTTCCCAACATGCTCATCATCGGCCAAAAAAAGAAGCCTTTCATTGGTGAAATTAATTTAGAGGGCCTTGTGGAGAGATCCCTTTTAATTTATTTCATTTTTATCCCTACATTTCAAGGAGATCACAGCCTCCTTGCACTTTAACTCTGCAGCAAGCTTGTGAGCTATGCAGTTCACTATGGAGTTCCATCTGGGCCTCCCCAGGCCCAGTCCAAAATTGTATTCAATACGCTATACTGGTCACTCAAGAATCCCTGTCCATGATAACCGAGTTAAATGTTAACCGGAATAAAATCTAATTTTGAAATAAAAATTTATCCTCCTCTCAGCAAACTTAAAAAAAAAGCTATTAAAAATATTATACAATGACAGTGAATTCCTAAGAACAAGCAATGAGTCACGTTGAACTTGCTACATAGCAATTCACAACAGAAGGTTTTGTAACCAGAAAAAGGTGGATGTAAAATATCTGCCTACTGGACTACACTATGCAATTGGGTCTATGATAAGTCGCCAACTTGTTATGGCCAATTCACCACTAGTTGTGGGACAAAAGTTACACTAATATCAAAGAAATGATCATTAAAGAAAGGATGCAAAAGGAGGGACAGAACGAAATGTGAATGGCAAAACTTAAAATATTTTTTTTATTTATTTAAAATAATTAAAAAGGATTGTTAAATTGTCCTGCAGTGAGTTGTCCCACGACAAGTTGGCTGTGGCGAGTTGTCCCGTTCCCCTATGCAACTGGCTTAACTGGTAGATTCTAATTTCCCACAACTTCTGAAATAAGGACAAGACAAACTGTATCTTTAAAGAAAAGAGATATAATAGAGGGCTTCTCAAACGTCATGGTGACAACCATAACCTCAGAATGTGTGTGTCTACCTATGAATAAAGCTGTCAGAATATGCTTGGACAGGGTCTCTGAGTAAGACAGGAATCCTGTTTTCCTGCCTGGACAAACTCTGGTTTCTGTGTTAAAATTTTATATTTTCAGCATTCGATATCTGACACAACTCAATCCCAAGACCAGGATTTGCCTTCAATGACTTTTGTCATCTCAGGAGTGATTCCTATTATAGCTTCAACCTATTCCTGAGTGCCTTCCTAAATAATCTATCCAGGTTCAATACACTTTTGTCTAGTCCCACCTTTCCCCTTACTCTTCTTTCAACTTCTCCATGACGGATGTCATGCTGGGCCTAGTGCTCAGCCCAGTCTTCCAACATTAGATATTCTTCTTTTCCAAGAACTGATACAGAGCATGGGCTGCATTCAAGCAGGCAGTTTCACTCCAGAATTCAGTATGATGCCCCAGTTTAGTTCAAGTTTATCACAGCAATTGATCAATGTTTTATGGTACAATGCCCCAAGAAAGGGACCTATTGAAAGCTATCCTTGGTGATTCTAGTCAAGAATGTCACAAGTCTAACAAGCCTGCCCCGGGTGGTGCTTAGAAGTGATCTGGGACAGTGGCTATAAAAATAAGGTCTCTCAAAGGAGAATTCCAGCAAATGGATCCCAAGAAATGAAGGCAGCTTGTTTTTAGATATGAACAAGTATGACCTCCATCATGACCTCACATTCTGGTGATGCCTGGTTTAATGATGAAATATATCTTTTTTTAGGCAGTTCAGTCCCGTCATTTCCAAGTAATAGTGGAACAACAGCTTAGCGGCAAGTTTGAGTTTGACAAATGACTGTAGATAGCACTGAGCTAGATCAGCAGTCTGGCTTGGTATAACTTCAGTAATTTAAAACTCATGGAGGCAAGGAAGTAGTTGTAGTGGGAAACATTTCAAAATGCACATCTTACCGAAGGGGGAACACATCTCATGGAAAGGTAAACAAAAGTAATTGACAGCTTTCACTATATAAATGAATGAAACATGGGGAAAGAAGCTTGTGAACACTGGGGCTGGTTCTAGAAGGTAGCAAAATGTAACATTTGTTAGGGCCATGATCAGCAAAAGGCCTACTACCTCAATATTGTGACTTCACATGCAGTGGACTTCGGATTTTAGAATTCCTGCTCAAGGGCTATGGGGGTTAAAGACCAATACATCTGTATGACCCCAGGTTTGAAAAAGCTTTTCCACAGTATCTTAATCATTGTCCCATAATTATCGGATCATTAACAGTCTACTAATTGATTTTCACACAAAGTGACCCCCTTACCATTTTGCAGATAGACTTTGCCTCTTCAGAAAATTTATGGGAATACACCTCTTCCATCTCCAAGACTCTCCTGTCTACTTCTTCCCGCTTCACCTTTTCTTTCCTCCCTCGAAAGGGTGACTGTCCTGCAATCATTTCATAGATTAAGCAGCCTAATCCCCAGTAGTCAGGGCTAAGGGTATATCGCTGGTTATTCAAGACTTCTGGAGCTGGGAAAAAGGAAAGAGACAATGGGAAAAGTTTCCTATGTCTATATTGACGTCAGCATGACTATTGAGGCAAGAATGAAATAAGAGATTCCATTTAGTCTGGCCAAGGATCAATTTGATACTAGGAGGGAGCTCAGTGGAACTTGTTTCACAGGAAATTATAATAATAAAATTAAGCCATTTGTGTAGGTTCACTTCCATACAGTTGGAAATAATTATTTCTCCATGATAGTTCAACTATATATTTCCAGGATTTAAATCTCCATCTAGGAATGGAGGCCTATTTATTCTGTGATAATCTATACTACCCAGTACACAAGGATATCTGTCAGCTTGGATAATCTGAATCATTCCAACTACTTTACTTTGCCTCAGTGGTGGGATTCAAATATGTGAACAACCGGTTCTCTGTGTAGATGCCGCTTCCGGAAGTCCATTCTGGTCCTGGGCAACAAAAAATTAGCTACCGGTTCTGCCGAAGAGGTACGAACCGGCTGAATCCCACCACTACTTTGCCCCCTTAGAAAATATAGAATGGAATTTTTCAAAGATCTGTAAAGGATATGGGTACCATATAAGCTGGCCCCTAACAACAGTCTATATTTAATTAGTTGTATTTATCACACAAGTCACATTACTATATGTGATATGAAACTAGACTCCAGTTTCACACTGGAGTCTGGTACAAGCCACAATGATTTCACACATGCCGTGATGTTATTATGCAAATGATGTGAATTTTCTAATGTGCTTAAATCATATCGTGTCCTCATGTGATCATGACAATTTTGTTTGGCTACCTGAAAACAGCAAGCAACTGCATCCCCAGTGTTTGGTAGTGTAGTGGGAGGGGGCTCCAGGGACTGTAAAGGGGTGCTAAGGGTGCACAAGACTCAGGGAACAATCTCAGATGCCCATCTCTGATTTAAGTTGAAATCTTAGTGCCATTTATATGCAATAATCTCATTTTCATTCTTTTCTTTTTAATTATTCTGAAGCATGAGGTTTAATATTTACTAAGTTTTACAAATAAAAAATGCCTGGAGAATCTATGGACGCTATTTCACACGTCATTCAGCTTAGAGAAATTCATTAAAACTATCAAGAATGAAAAGAAACTACTTAAAAATTTTCAGAGCAATTCCTACATTCAATGCCTTCCTCTGCAACCCATTGCAATACAGAGTTTGGTACGAAGTATAAATTGACAACTATAGCTGTTGCGGGGAAGGGGTGGGGAGGCAGGAATCAAGACATAAAAGTATCTAGGACATAGCTTTAAAACAACGGGGTGCTGACACTGATAGTTCAGAAACTCTAAATGCCGGAAAATATTCAAATGGTTCATTAGGCGAGTGCTATCTTGTTCTTCCAAAGGCCATTCATGGACGCCATGTTTACTGACAATCCTCACAATTCCTTATTTCATGCACTGTTCTTATTAAATAAATACATGTTTAATTTTTACCAATGCTGAGTGTTATATAAACCCAATTTAGGGGATACTGCCTTTGCACTCAAGCACTTAGGGGAGAATGCACAAAGAATTGTGACTTGGTCAAGTGATCCTACATGTCAGAGATTCAGCCATCTGTTCAGTCATGTTGAATTGTGACAGCTTATCACGCATGAACAGAGTTTGTTTTTTCTTTTACATTACAGAGTTGAAATAATAGTCTTCGAAGTTGAAAACAACAGAGTATTTCAGACCACTCACCCATGTAACCAACTGTTCCTACTCGTCCACGGATGGAGTCACCCTCAGGAATTTTAACAGCTAGACCCAAATCAGATATTCTGATGTGGCCTAAAGTGAATGGGAGAAAAGTTAGCTTAGGCATAAATCTGTAGAAAACTATCATTTTGCTATTAAATACATTATTAAAACAAATCTAAACACTGCAGGGAAGAAAATGATACTAATTCTTTGGAGGAACTCATCTGAAAAATTGATCAAGGAAACTGCTTGATATCAGGGCTGGCCAAATGTCCTTCTGCTTTCAGATAAAAGTGCAAGCTTCAACATAAGATGGTCTTAGATAGTAGGGAGAATTTCAAGAATGTTAATCTTGATTTGCACTAAACACATTAAAGTTAATCTTGAATATGCACTAAACATTGAAAAACACTTTTTAATGCATTTAATTTCTTTAAAATCCCCTTGAAAGGATGCTATGACAGAGGCTTTTCATCCCAGAAAAGCAAAAGTTGGCTAAAAAGCAAAACTGCAAGATTTTATGTTATTTTATTCCTTTCCATGAGATGGGGAAAAAAAACCCTGGAATCATAGGTGGAAAATGGTGGAATTGGGATGAATCATTCATACCATCAAATGTAATTCCTTGCTTAGTGAAAGGAATCCAAGCATATTTAAAATATGGTTGCTCACATTCCTTGACTGTCAAACTATTTTTACCTTTAGGAACGATGTCCTAATATTCTGTAAGATTTGCCTTCCTGTAATATAAGATTACTGCCCATGGAGCAAACCAACTGACCAATTCAAATTACGAGCATTTTTATTATGCAGAATTTCCTGCACCCAGTCGTTCAGTCATCTCACTCTTATCTTTTCGTAAGGGCCTAAAAAGGTGGCTCTGCCAGTTGGCTTAGGGCCCCAGTGGGGGAACAGTGCAATGGAACTGGTTGATTAATAACAGATCCCATCTCCCCCCCCCTACTCCGCCCCTGCCGTCCCTATGTGTCCTCGTTTTAATGTCTGATTTTAACTTTTTAACTATATATGTAACTATAAGCTGCCCAGAGTTACCCTATGGTAAGATGGGCAGCCAATACTTTTTATAAATAAATACATAAATATGTTTTTATCCTACCCACCCCTAAGATTACTGTTCTCCAGAGCAAAAAAAAAACAAAAACCAATGTAAGCAATTAAATATGTCATACTTAAATACTTATTTCATCAGACTGTTTTCTATTTTGGCTATTTTGTTTACTTGGAGTAACAGATTTTCCATGTCTCATATACTACCCATTCCTACAGAGATGGGCAACCTTTTGATGTCTACAGATGGAAGGTAAGAGAATTTGGTCACTACGGGAGGGACAAAATCCAAGCTGAAGGTGATACATCCCACACACGAGCAGGGACAGGATTATACAATTTTTCCACCTGGCTTTCAAAAAAGAAAACTAGAAAAAAAGTGAGATTTTTGTTTTTTGAAAGTACAGTATAGCTAGTAAAATGTAAGTAAGTTTACATTATCAGCTTCTTGTACATCTGTCTCAAAATCAGAGGAGACATTACCACCCATTTTCAGCAATCACAGTCAGAGGAGACTGTGGGGACCATGATGGGGGGAGGAAGAAAAGTTTAGTTCTGTGGGTTATATTCCACCCTTGTTTTACAGGTTTTTAAATTGGGGATTGGACCAGGAGCCTTGCACTTCTCCACTGAGATCAGGTCATTTCTGCAACAAGGAGAACTTTGCCTTGCATGAAGGACTAACAGAGTAATATTATTTATGAGTTTCAAACTAGCTGGGATTCAAGTAAAGGCTGTATATTTTGCTGTTCGTGACTCTATTCAATTCAGAAAGTTGCTGAGCTGATGGATTAATCTGTACAAATATAAATAGAACAAATAATTCAATGTAATTGAATTGGGAGTGGGTATTGACTCTGACGAGCATTTGAAATAAAAAACAGTCAGGCATCCCATCTTTCATTCTTGAAGCCCATATTATTTTTCATTGTTTAGCTGGTAATAATATTGATTGGTCAAAGACACAATTCCCATTGTTTATCCAGGTATGTTTTGTTATAGTCATAAGGTCAAGAAGTGTGAAGTCCATCTTCAGAGAAATGACACACACATTATGTCACCTTCAACATTGGATAAGAGAAAATACAACCTTTGTATAAACCTTTGTAATAAGATGCTCTTCTTTTCATAAGGTTTCTTTCTCTTTTTGACAAAAGTGCCACTATTTTATCTGCCCAAAGTTAAAGGTTGGTTATTGTTTAACCTCTTATCCTCTGCAGAGAATGATTTGGCTGTGTACAGACAACTATATATAAGCCATTTTACTGTAGACAAAAATGTTTTACCTAAAGCTCTCAGACTTACCATAATCATCTAACAGGATATTTTCTGGCTTCAAATCCCTTTAAAAAAAATAAGAAACGCTGCTGTTATTTCTGTGGAAATTGCTTTGATAAAATGGAAATTGCAAGCATCAGAATGCACTTTCCAACCATTTAGGCAGTAGGGTGTCAGTTTACCCAGTAAAAGAATTCAGAAAGTCAATGAAACACATGGCTTTGCAGTAATATGAAAATCACAGTCTACCATAATCTCGGGCCATTCACTTCAGCTGGATGTGACCAATGAGGACATCATGCAGAGTATTTTGTATGTGTTCTCTAGCCAGCCATTGTGTATAGCAGCAGCAGTTAGAATAGCGTTCCTCAACCTTAGCAACTTTAAGATATATGGACTTCCATTCATGTAGCTGACTGGAGGATTTCTGGGAGTTGAAGTCCAGACATCTTAAAGTTGCCAAGGTTGAGAAAGTCTGAACTAGAGGATTAGTTTTGGCTATAGGAAAACTATGTGTCAATTTCTCTGCAATTGAGAAATTGCAATGAAAGCTATTAACTATTTCTGTTTAAGAAAAATAGGATGATTGAATGTAAAGTTCTCTGAAAGGAGTTACCTTCACATTAATCTTTCTTGTCCATTATGAATGAATTCAGATGCAAGTTATAGTCTCTTATTTTCCAAAACACCAGAAAGCAAGACAAGAAACAATGGATGGAAACTAATCAAGGAGGGAAACAACCTGGAATTAAGGAGAAATTTCTTAACAGTGAGAACAATTAACCAGTGAAATAGCTTGCCTTCAGAAGTTGTGGGTGCTTCATCAGTGGAGGTTTTTAAGAAAAGACTGGACAGCCACTTGTCTCAAATTGTATAGGGTCTCCTGCCTGAGCAGGGGATTGGACTAGAAGACCTCCAAGGTCCCTTCCAGCTCTGTTCTGATTGATCGATTGGATATATGCACTAGGTCTGTTTTAACAGGTCTTGTGAATGGACAGATACTCAAAAAGCACAGTCATTATGTTTTGTGGAGTTGCAAACACTTCTTCCTTTCCTCAGAATCCAATGCCTGAAATAATCACTTCACTCTACTTAATAGTAGTGTTGATTCCAATATTAAATGTCTACAGCCAATGTGGGAGAAAGCAATGGATTAGGACATCCAGCTCTTCAAGGAAGTGTTTAAAATTAAGATGAAAAAGTATGTTGAGAACAATCTTTATCACATTAATCCAACATGTGCCTTTCTGTTAAACACCAAGAATAAGCGTTTGGTGGTATTTAAAATAAAGCCATCCATTTTACATCCTCATTCCCTTCACATATTTTCTCAGTATTATTTGTTTTAAAAGTAGGCTTGTTAGCACTGGTTTATCTTGTGAAGTTTATCTTGTGAGGTCAATAGGAATTTAAACTAACAAAAAGAAGACAATCAAAATGTTCTTAGTTCATGTGCTTTTGCTTATAATAACAAATAGTGCCTGCATAATATATTTTGAACAAATAAAAGTTCCCCAGTGATTAATAGGGGAAAAATAATTACGTTTACTTCCAAGTAATGGCAATGCTTAAATCATTTAATGAAAGCAATTTAAAATACTGAAAAGGAGAATTTCAGGACCCTTTCTGTTGCAAGTTAGTCTGATGGTCAACTTGAATTGTATTCTAGACAATTCTTGTGTCATAAACTTAGGGCAATAACTTTATCCACATAATTTTCATATGTTAGGAATATAGCAGAATCTAATCTGGGTCGGTCACCAGGACCAAAGGTTTTGTCTTCCAAGCTTTCGGATTCGTGCTGGACAGTGAGAACAATTAACCAGTGGAACAACCTGCCTCCAGAAGCGGTGAATGCTCCAACATTGGAAGTTTTTAAGAAGAGACTGGACAGCCATTTGTCTGAAATGGTATAGGGTTTCCTGCCTGAGCAGGGGGTTGGACTAGATGACCTTCAAGGTCCCTTCCAACTTTACTATTATTATTATTATAATCTGAAAGCTTGGAAGAGAAAACCTTTGATCCTGGTGACCGACCCAGATTGGACCGTGCAACATTATCCTGGGACATGTATATTCGCCTTCATTTATTAGGAATATAATTTGTGAAAGTATACAGTCTTATTTAACACACTCAATTGCATTATTTTATTGAAGTAAATTGCTTCCTGGATAAAAGTGAGGTGATAAAATCACTTTAGGAGTACTCTTGTCACCTCAGATATAAATAAGTATAAATCAGCATTGCCAAAAATATTACTATTTAAAAAATAACAACATAGCTACAGTTACAAGTTTTTTTTTAGAAACCTTGTAATAAATCATTCGGTGAGTTAATGAATGCCATAAACTTTATCTTGTAAATAAATAATTGCTCTCATAGTCAGTTATTCTAATGAAAAATAATTGATCCCTTAATGTCTATGGAGATTCTCAATCATCCAGGTTATGGTTATCCCAAAGGTGCTTTTTTTCAAAAGACAACCGGAGTTTGTTTTTCCTTGCAAACATTTTGCTTCTCATCCAGGAAGCTTCTTCCGTTCTTCATCCATCATCCTCTACCATTCAGTCAGAACAGAAGAAGCTTCTTGGATGAGAAGCAAAATATCCTCAAGGAAAAACAAAGTCTATTTGCCTTTTTTTGTTAAAAAAAGCACCTTTGGGAAAATTTATCCTTTAATTTCAAGCAGGTTTATTAGATCTTTGGATGCTTCAGATCTATGCCTCTTGGTTCTATTTATCTTTAAAAGCATCTTTATCAGATAGGTTCCCAATCAAAATGGTATTTAGCACTTGGACTCTACATTCAGGCATTGGAAACCACATGGAGATAGAAAGAACTGTGAAGAATAAAGCATGGAGAGAATTTTGCAGAAGTGCAGATTTTATCAGAAACTGTTAAGGTTGTTTACATTACAATCCCCACGGGGCTAGTATTTTGCAGGATCTAAATAACAACCCCTCCTGCATTACATAAATAAAGAAGCAGGAACAATTCCTCATCAACTGATAATATCTAAGATGAGCATTTTATGTATGGAACAGTCACTTTGGGGTAGCTCGCATCAGGACCAAAACATCATGCCTTGTCTGGACATAGATCCATAATAGGTGTCAAGACATGATATCTGCCTCGCATGTGACTGGTCCAAGCAGAAGTGGTTGTGTCTGGGGAAAGTGGAAAAAAGGCAAGGTGATTAGTAGCATTGTTAAAGTAAGTTAGGGACAAAGGCAACTGGGAAGATCGCAGAGGAGAAAGTAGGCAGGCCAGGAGATGCTTGAATTCAAGGGCAACTGTGGTGGGTTACAGCTACAGAGGACAGGGAAAGGAAGGCACTGGAAAAACTTGAGGACAGATAGGTGGTCTGCTGCCACCCAAAAATTCAAATACAGCCCACCCTTCCCCCAATTTTCCTAGCACTCCCCCTTCCCTACCTCTCTTTGTGTCCATGAAAAGAAGAGAAGCCTTCTAGCCTAGAAGGAGGAGCAGGAGGAAGGAGTGAGAGAGGAGAGTTACATGGCCAAGGCTGGACTGTGGCATCTCTTTGACCCGGAGAAAGAGGCAGAAATGGACTTGAATTCAAGACGGTGGTTAAGGGAAGATAGGAATAAAACTGTTGGGAAAATTGGTAGATGGGCCAGGGTACAGGCCATGGGGCAGAGGAAGGGAGAGAAGGATGACGCATCATCCTTGCTCTACTCACCCCATAAGACCCCTCTGGATTTTGTTTATGGTCAAAACCTGGAACAAGCAAAATATTCTGGAATAGATTGTCTGAATTTTTAAGACAATATATATATATATATATATATATATATATATATATATATATATATATATTAGGTTCCAAATGAAATACAATTTCTGGAGCATAAAGACAGAGGTAATGAGTCCCAGCCAATTTCTCAGCCAGACACTCCAGTCCCAATATGAATATTCCTTATGTGTCTCAAACATAGTGACTCAGCAAAATCCTGTGCAGATTTTACCTAAGCATATGAGTAGAGATATGAATGTGCAGAAAAATATGTCTGGGAGATAGGACTGATTTTTTTTCTTTTTTTTTCTTTGGTAGCTCACTTGCCATTAGGGAAAGAAAATCAAAGCATTTCCCATACTTTAAATTGCAGTATAAATAGTTAAAAATCATTTTCATATGTTGTTATTCAACCTTTATCGCATCATTATTTCTAAAAGTTGTGTCATGGGATTATTATCAATTTTTTCTTGGCATGACAATTTTTATAACCATTATAATTACTGTAACCCAGTACTCAATTGTAAATTAAAAAATGCAATTTTTTTCTCCAGAGAAATTGAACATGTTCGGAAAAGAAAAATGCTGTTTTGTCATGACCTTATTTTTTTCTGTTTATTTTTATTTAGGATTGATCTAGAATATTTTTGAAACAAAACCCCGTTAATTTATTTAGATTTGTAAAGATAAAGTGTGCTATATCCATTGGCTCAAGGCCACATCTTTTGGTGGGAGAGAATTTTAACTCTTTGCCATTTAAACCCTAATCATACATTAATTTGGATGTGCTACCTATGTTGCATGTTTTGCTCTCTTATTGTAATGGTACAAAAAAAGGTAATGAGAAACATATCGATAGCTATGAATAGAAACAGGAAATATTATATGAGGATAAGAATTTCTCTAGGAACAAAGCTGCAAATGCACGTGAGTTTCTGAAAGTATGAAAGAAAATTTACCTGTACACAGTGTTTGCCCTGTGTAGGTCTTCTAAGCCACAAAGAATCTCTGCAGCGTAAAACAGAGCTCTTTCTTCTTCAAAGCCTGGGTTTCCCATATTATAGATATGGAATTTCAGGTCTCCCCCATTCATTATGGTTAGAACTAAACAGAGTGCATCCTTTGTTTCATAGGCATAGGCTAGATTGACCTAGAATGAGAGTTGTTAAACAACAGTTATAGTTCAAGAAAATTATTCATACCTAGAATTCACTCATAGCTACTAGCATTTTGTGTTAGAAAAGACATGACATCCATCAGTTAAAAGGAAGAGGAAACGGGATAGAATTCTGACTATTTAAAAAAAAGACCACAGGGCAAGCATACAGGCAGGCAGATATTGCAAGATCCAATCTGGGTTGGTCACCAGGACCAGATGTTTAGTCTTATGAGCTTTTGGACTTGTGCTGGAGCCCATCCTTAATGAAATTCTGAGGACGGGCTCCGGCACAAGTCCAAAAGCTTGGAAGACTAAACCTCTGGTCCTGGTGATCAACCCAAATTGAATCCTGCAACATTATCCTGGGGCCCGTACATTTGCCTTCATTCATAGTCAGATATTTTCATAAGATGTGTAAGATGATACTACACACAGTACTGTAGATTTAGTTCTTCAAGAAAAAGCTAGGGAATTTACTCATTCAACATTAAGTATTGTCTTTTTTTATTACTATATATTCTTCCAGCAGCAGCAGCAGCAACTAATAAAAGAGCCTTGACAGATTCTAGAGTTTTGGACTCTGGTAGGGTCTTGTAGAGAGCTAATAGGAGAATGCATTCCATCGTAGAGTGAGCTCTTTGTAGGACCGTTTTTTCCATAAACAATTATATTGGAACCACACAGTGCTGTCAAATTCCAGTGAATGATACATAACAATTCACTGCAATTGCAAAAAGTAATAACTGAAGAATACAGAGCTAGCATCAGAAGCACTGCATATATTTTGCTATAAGTGCCATTCACTGATACACCTGTTAATGAGAACTGATGCCCATTACAAATTTGGCAATACTTACTACAAACTGACTATTGACTTTTTCTAGAATCTGCTTTTCATTTAGGGCCATGGATTCACCTTTCCTCTTCTTTATTCTTTTTTTCTCTAATCTTTTGCATGCATACATTTTCCCAGTTGCTCGTACTTGGCAGGCGCATACCTGAAAAGGGAAAAGTTACAATAGGGAAGAAGACACAGAACAAATGATCAGTTAACCTAGCTAAATCAATCTCTTTTCCCTACTTTATCTTGATTTTAAGAAAATTCTTTTGACTGGAGACTAAACAGACATTCAGCAGGAGGACGAAACGAAGTCTGGTTTTCCATATTCTGAATTTAGAGAAATAATACATACAACAATCTCGAGCTGGGATACTCTGTAAATAAGGGTTGCTTGCACAGAGGATCACTTGCCATTTACTTAAATACGGGATACTACATTTCTAAAAGTGGGAAAGGCCAAGGAAAAAAAAATAGCTGGAAAACTGCTGTGCTAAAAAATAGTATCGGTGTATTTAATAATATTTTATGGTAATTTTGGTAAAGGTCTTTGAGGAACCCACCCAAAGCTTGGGAGGATAAAATGTGACTACAGCTACTGTACAGCCACTAAGTATAGAGACTTACCATTGTTAAGACCAGGATCCAAAATCCAAAACTACATCAGTAATTCATTCATTCATTAATAATTAATGAATAATAGTAATTCAGCTTAGAGAAAAGACCATGTCTATCCCTTTCCCACATACCCAATGAATCAAGTTTAAGAACTCTTACGCAGCAAGAATGAAATCATGCCATTTCTCAATGTTTCAATAGATCAGATTGATCAGCAGAAGTTAATTGGCTACCCTTACAGGTGCAGAATTTGTAAAAGAAGAATTTACTCACCTCTCCAAAGCCGCCTTTTCCTAATACCCTGTATTGCCTAAATGTGTTTTTTGTTACTGGTTGTCTGAAATAATAAAGAAAATTGGGGTAGTGAAAAAAAAATGTTTTAATACTTTTTTTTAAAGGATCAGTTTAAAAGAAACTGTGCCAAGACATGGCAAGCAGTTGCCATCCTTAACACTGAATTTTTTTTCATTTTTTTTTCAAGCTATTCCCCTCTCCTTTTAATAAATTAGCTGCTTCTTTTTTTCTAAAACTGAAATATGGGCCAGTATTTCAGAGCCCTGTTGCCCTTCATTTCCCACAAATCCATAAATTCTTTGTTAAAGATCATTTAGCTCTGGAGATAACTGCTTTTCAACCACTCCTAACCTTCCTCTTTTCTCATCTGGCCATAGGGTGTGTGTCGAGGAGAAGGGGAAGCTCCTGCAGTCATATTTTTAAAAAACAGGAAGAAATGATATATTCTTGATACTTTTCAATCCCATAATTAAAAATAATAATAATAATGATAAAGTTGGAAGGGACCTCGGAGGTCATCTAGTCCAACCTCCTGCTCAGGCAGGAAACCCTATACCATTTCGGACAAATGGCTGTCCAGTTTCTTCTTAAAAACTTCCAGTGTTGGAGCATTCACCGCTTCTGGAGGCAGGTTGTTCCACTGGTTAATTGTTCTAACTGTCAGGAAGTTTCTCCTTAGTTCTAGGTTGCTTCTCTCTTTGGTTAGTTTCCACCCGTTGCTTCTTGTCCTTCCTTCAGGCGCTTTGGAGAATAGCCTGACTCCCTCTTCTTTGTGGCAGCCCCTAAGATATTGGAACACTGCTATCATGTCCCCCCTCGTCCTTCTCTTCATTAAACTAGACATACCCAATTCCAGCAACCGTTCCTTATATGTTTTAGTCTCCAATCCCCTAATCGTCTTTGTTGCTCTTCTCTGTACTCTTTCTAGAGTCTCAACATCTTTTTTACATCGTGGTGACCAAACCTGGATGCAGTATTCCAAGTGTGGCCTTACCAAGGCATTGTAAAGTGGTATTAATACTTCACGTGATCTTGATTCTATCCAACCATGTAAGCTCCTAAATAGCGTAGGAGAATATTCAAATCGTCATTACTTGTTTTTCTATCACATTGCACCTGCCAAGGGGTGGTATTGCCATGAACAATAGATATCAAGTATATATCATCAGCAATGCAATAGGCTGTGAACTTTTATTTGGGCTGGAGTAGGTGCTAAAATAAAATACGTCAGAAAATATAAAAATATGACAAACCTCAGGCTGAAAATTTTGCAGTAAAAATCTTCAAATGTAGAAAAACGCTAGTGCTGGAGAAATATCAGGCTAATACATTCAGTTCCTAGTTTAGGGCTTCCCCTTGGCATCTAATGGGTCAAAAATTCTGGATGACTTCAACCTTTAGACTGATCCAACAATTCTTATGTTCTTATCCCAGTTAGTCCAAAAGATGAATTGAGAATAATTTACAAATGAATTAATTACTAATACAACCTTCCTTCACTTCATGCAGAATTTTAGTCGCACAATCCCTCAGCCATTTGATATCTGTTCTCTTTTATCTGGTCACTAACTGTAGGAGATGAAATGGCTAAATCCCAGAGAGGGATCAAGCACATCATCAATCTCAAGTTCCTTCGTACCCACAAAAGAGCTATGTCCAGCCAACCTTGAATTCTGTTGACCCTTATCCAGGGCTTTTTTTCTCAGAGAAAAGGTGGTGGAACTCACCTCCCTCCCCTGGCCACGCCCCCACCCAAACCTGGCCACGCCCCCACCCAAACCTGGCCACGCCCACGTTTGGCTTTGAGGGCGCCGGCGTGAGAGCCTCTGGATTCTCTGCCGCTTCTTGCTCGGGCAGGGTCGCCTAGGAAACGGGCCAGGGGCG